ATTCTTTCGGGTTATTAAATGCATCCTCTTATTCTTTTGTCCACAAGAACTTTTGCTTACTCTCTGTCAGTTTATGAATGGGTCTTCCGATCGACGAAACGTCCTTCACAAATCCCCTATAATAGGTTCAAAGGCCAAGGAAACTTCTGAGCTAATGCGCATTTTCAGGGTATCTGCAGTCTTTAACTGTTGCTACTTTTTCTGAATCTGTACACACACCTTCAGCAGAGATGACCTTTCCTAGGTCAGTCAGTTCCTGTTTGAATAGTTTACATTTAGCTGGATTCAACTATAGATCCTCTACCCTCAATTTCTGAAGTACCTTTCTAAAATTTTATAGATGTTCCTCAAAGTTCTTCCCGACGAAGATGATGTCATCCAGGTATACCAGACAGGCTTCGCAGGAAAGTCCTCTCAACACAGTCTCTATGAGATGTTCGTATGTTGCCGGCGCCTTAGAATAATCCAAACAGCATCACATTGAACTTTCAAAGTCCTTTTCTGGTAGTAAAAGACATCTTTTCTCCGTCATCCGGGTGTATCTCTACCTGCCAATATACACTCAGTAGAGATGTTAGGTTATTTTGTGTAGTGTGCTACCGCTACATCACGAAGGCATGCAGAAAGGAGAGATAAAATACCTTACACACCCCGAACTGGGGTACTGTTAAAGCTGAGACAAAAATTGGACAGTGAGCCGAGAAGCTGTATGCTAGCAGTCACTTAAGTATTTAGAATAGTTTCAACAGCGGTTGCATGCATTCTTGCGGTGTGCCCTCTCCCTCAATACAATACAGGTATTTTTATCATATATGTTTTGATTGGATAATGGTTTTATTATGAATTAGAAATTACAGAGATGATTATAAAAAAGGAATTTTTTCATAAATATTGTGATATGGATACCCATTCGGTCGAAAGGACTGTAATTACATTTGATAAGAACTTTTTGGTTTTGGATGTAGGTCAGATTGATATTTGTACAGACCGATCGGAAATGAACATGGGAGTTGGCTGTTCATGTCTAATTTATTTGCATGTAACAGAGGACAAGTACCAAAAATATACCTTAAATCCATTGAATTCAGTTTTACAAGTTGAGATTAGAGGAATATTTTATGGATTAAAATGGACGAAAGAAAACTTGCTTACAGACATAAAATAGATATTTATTCCGATACTTTTTCTGCTTATACGCAATTTCTAACATACGCAATAATAATTTATTAATAAATCAAATAAAAATGATTTCAAATTTCTGACTGAAATACATAAAAATAATTAATATAAATTTGCACTGGATCAAGGCCCATGTTGGGTATATTGGTAATGAGAGGGCAGACATGCTGGCAAAAGAAGCTGCTCAAGACCTGGGAAAGAAAGATACTGAAGCGCTGTATTCGAAAAGAAAGTTATAAAAATTTATGAAAGAGGAGATATTTGTGGAATGGAAAGAAAATTGGGAACCATCTGGAAAAAATAATGGTTATATCAGATTTTTGACAATTGATAAAAGTAAAAAGATCTTTAATAATATAGATATAAACCAAATTATTACTGATCACGGAGCTTATTTTAACAGATTTGATCTTCAAGGAAATGAAAACTGTCAATTTTGTAAAGTAAAAAGGTAATAATTGCCACTTCCTTGAAACTTGCAGTTTTATGAAAGACATACTTCAGAGACACCAGTGTGATATAAATGGATTTTTGTTTTGAAAATTATGAGACAGTTAAACAAGTAGCTGAAGAAATTATAATAATAATTAATCAAAATAGAGAAGTGATAGGGATTTTGATTTGATTGCCTAATTTGATGGAACATGGCTGGCTCACTGTTCTCCTTTATAGTTTGACGGGTTGGCCGCTGTTATGTGCTGATGGCCGCTGATGGCTCAACTTGTTTCGTCCCGGAGGGGGTCGGAGGTTTCACCCGTTGCAACAGCAATAACTACCTTATATACCCCCTTTTAAAGGACGACTGGAGATTAGAGGACCCATTCGCCAGATCCTGGTGGTGAAGAATCATCATCCACATATTTTTTTAGTTCAGGTGCACTGTAGAGACATAAGGTTATTTTGAAGCAAGGCACATGAAAATTGTGGGTTGCTCTCGCCGGGATTCTAACTTGTACCTCTCGAATACGCCAGGGTGTGCTACCGTTACACCATGAACGTATACAGTAAATTAAGAGTCAAAAAACAATTCAAGAAAAAGTGTTCAGAATACCGTCTTAGAAAGAGGGTAGCTGTCTTTCTTAGTAACCTCGTTCACCTGGCAATAGTCTACGCAAGCTCTAGTTGAACTGTTCTTCTTTCTGACCAGGATAATGGGAGAGGCGCATGGACTTGCTGAAGGCTAGATGATATTGTTCTCTTGCATGTCCTTTAGGAGTTTTCATACCTTTTCCTGTTTAGCATTCGGTAGATGTCTTGGATGTTTCTTGATTGGTGGTTGATCCCCTGTATCAGTTCTATGCTGTGTCAAATTGATTCGGCCTATGTCAGTACATGAGCGAGAGAAAACGTCTTGAAATTCTTGAACGGCACATTCTGCAGCTTTTCTCTCTTTATCGCTTAGTTCTCCTTCTGCAATACCTGCGATGTTATGCTCTTTGAAGACACGGATGCCTGAGGCCTACTGTTTCTTGTAACGCATGTCACCTAAGTACATTCTGCAACCACTTCACCTTTCCAAATGATTTTACCTTTATCACTGACGTTGGAAACTCCCCTCGGGATAACTGTCCTTCGTAAGTCGACGACTGCCAAGGCTACTAATACACCTCGCAGATTGTTACAGTTCTTGGCATACTTCGTTACACCGTACCAGAAATTTCTGTTTCCGGCTACAGTTCCAGGAAGTAAAAATTCTGTTCTTGCTGGTATTATACTATCGTCTTGAGCGATGATTTGAAGGACAAATTTAAATCCTTCATCGTTACTTCTGAATTCCTCAGCGGCAGAATGCAGTTAATTATATTTAAAGTCCAAGGAAAACTCGGGAAGGCATTTCCGTAGAAAGCCTAATCCAAGTATCTGCAATATTTGCTACATATGCCGTATGTGATGGTAGGCGGTACTTCCAAATGTGATGTTAATGTTTATATTTCCATCGATGTCGATTTTATCCTCGGGCACAATCTGAAGGGTAACGCAAGCCGGCGTTCAGATGAGTTTATCTTCTAGTTGTTAAACCCAATCTTTTCGGTGATGGTAACATTGGCTCCCGTAAATCGATAGTCACATTGCAAGGAACTCCGTTGATGTATCTCATGATTAAAAGTCCATTACTGTCGCCTCTCACTACCGAAATCTGAAGCGCTTTAAAATGTTGCTTCACATTATCTTTCAAAGTCCGCACTGAGAGATGGCCACTAACTTTTTATTTGCGTCCTTGCTGGGTAGCGGTCTTATTTTCTGTGCCCTGGCATTGACTTGTTTGGTTAAATCGTCTAGACGAGCAGCCATTTCATTTACTAACTGCTTAACTTGAATAGCTCAGATTGGGTGAAGGTCTCTACGAGTTGCTTGCTGAGCTGCCTCGAATTTTCATGGCTTACGCTAGAGCGCTTTTTAAATCTTTAACACCCGCCGTTCCTAAAAGCATTCTGTATTTCAGGATCTTGGATGCCGCCGATTAAGTACTGCAGTGAACAGGATTTCCCTTGTTTTTCTCGGGCATTCGGAAAATGCGAGATGAGACAGCCTTTTAACATCCGTAGGAAATTCCCGGAGTGTCTCCGTGGGGTTCCGTTGATGGTATTTTATTTGAAACCTGCTATTATGTTTTAAACACTTCTTCCCAAAGCGCAGGTCCAGCGCATCAGTTATAGCTTTGAAGTCTAGACTCTGTCTTCCGAAAAGAGTTTGAATTTAATCCGCTGTTTCTGTTCTCAGAAAAGCGGCGAGATGACAGGCTTTAGTTTGCGAATCCCATCCATTCAAGTTCGCCGCTAAAGGAAATTGTGTCTTATACTCTTGCCATGAAGTCTTACCTTCATATGGGGATAGCTTTAGAAAGGGACGAGAAGGCATGGGTAAAAGTTTAAATCCTCAGACTTGCTTCCTGCTGTCACTATGCACTTCTTTTGGAAACGTCAAAAACTCTCTCTTCGGTCTGTTCCTTGACGAAAGAATTTTTCTTCAGTTTCTTCAACCCTATTTTTGACTGTGTCTATTCTGCCTTCCGCAGCCTCGTATTTGTTTCCTGTCGCGCAGGTAATTTCTCCTTTCATTTTCTCTTGATCTGCATCAATCTTTTCTTGAAAATTTTGCATCTCTGCTTTAACAGATTTAAAAAGTCTCATCTTTTGATTATGATGCATTCGAAGAAGCCTGGCTGTATGTCCTGGTATGAAATCGCCTGAGATGAAATGGGGTTTCAAGTATAACCATTTCCAAGTCTAAGGCATTTTTATCCTTCTAATACCTTATTTTATTTATCAAATGCCTGGTCATTGACCATCAGGTCATTAGGCAACGAGCTTTCCAATACTTCTTCACAATACAGTCCAAACTCTTAAGTGCAGAGCACACGTCCAGATGAGCATCGTCCATGACTTGTCCAGAATCACACAGAGCACATAAAGGTGAGGAAGTCATATTAAAACGAAACAAATGTGCACCCAGACAGTCATGTCCACTCAATGATATAATATCTTGAATAGATTATTTAAGTTATCCCAATTTCTCTGAGACATCCGGATGTGACGAAGAGGTAGGTAAAGTTTACCAGATTTGTGAAATACAGGCAAACAAACAGCTGTGAAGGTTAAAAATGATTTCCTTTAGGTTACAAATATGGATCTCTGCAGACTTATTGAACTTTTCTGCTAAAATCTCAACGTTAAAAACTTTTTACTCAGAATAACATCGTACGCTGTGCCCTATTTTCACCAATAAAATTTCATAAATCTTTAAAATTATTTACTTGATATATGAAACAAAATAAAGGAATAAAGTAAGTCAGTTTATAAGATTAAAAATTCATATCGAACCTATTTCCATGCAAGCAGAATAAAAATTTTTGCCTTTGCTCTGGTGGTCTTCTAACTCGGAAGTTTTCTGGAGCTCCTCGAGAATTTCTGAGAAAAAAGTAGATATTTAGTTAATGTTCAATCACAACTGACTTATTAGTTATATATAACGTACATACTATAAACAAGATTTGTCGCATAACTTTACTGTAATCTCATTATAAATTGAATTTTAAGATCATAAGTCTGAACCATTGCTGTTTGGGATATTAAAAGGCTAAACATTTCTTGTGTGAGAATGCATTGATATACTAGAAACACATTCTTTTCAGAAGCATAATGCGCGATTTATTGTTTAGTGTTTAAAATAATATTCGTTGTGATGCTAAGAAAAATATACATACAAAAATAAAATTTTATAAAATAAGTTTTTATTTAAAATCCATAAAACCATTAATGATCTGAAAAGAAAAAAATAATTTAGCTTAATGGGAAAAAAGGGAAAATAATTATCCTTCCAAAATTCATTTCCAATTTCACGTCGCAAATAATAAAAGCGAGCGAACAGTCTTCATAAACTTATAAAGATAACGGCTTTCGAAAATGCAATTCGATTATTCGTATTTATTCTTTAGGGGGAACCGCTTTTATTGTTCGTGATATAAAATTTTAGATGAATTTTGTAAAGTGAATTATTTAATCTCTTGTCCCATTTAAACTATAAGATAATTTATTTTTCTGTTTCAATTCGCTAGTGATTTGATAAGTTTTAATAAAAGTTTATTTTATAAGAACTTTGTGTTTTTTATTTTCATTTTTTTAGTCTCAATAGTACTTTTTCAATCAAATTATTCGACTGAAAATTCATTTTTCAACCGTGAATAATCACCTTTTCACTTGTACCTATTCCCTTCGTTATTTCAAACAATCAAAAGAATCCAGTGATTTCGCCACAAAATCCGAAATTACGTTAAAAATCTCATATTAATTTCAAAGATTTTTTTCCTCTCTATCCGATGGGGCAAACGGTAGAATTCTGAGGGTTTTAGTTTGTTCATTACACAAATGTATGTGTGAAAAATCGTTTCAATAATAAATTTTAAAACTCCTAAATAAAATTTTAAAGAACTGGCTGCATCGCATAGTATTATTTTTCACAATGAGTATGCATACAAAATTTAAACTTGTAGCTTATCAGGAAATGACGTAATAACATCATACTCTCCAAACTGAAGATATTCGAAGATATATTTAAAACTGAAGTACAGGTATTTGACGAAAATAACATCAAAAGTGAAATAAATGGAAGCTTATAATAAGCTAGTAAGCTCCGTATCTCTAACGAATCGAGAAATGCTTTAAACTGAAATGACCAACTAATGTACTTGTGCCCTGTCCAAACTTCAACCCCTGTTTTTAAACTCCAGTGATCCGTTCTGAACAATTTTTGTTGTGCTAATATTGATGCTAACTCAGTCATTGAGTACGCGGAGAGAGACAAAATTGAACTACTCAATGCTATCTCTCAGACTGTTTTTGAGCAATCTCACTTTTGAAAACATCACTTGCAAACGTAAACATTGATCAAGCTGAGTGCATCCACGCCACACACATTTATTCTCGCCTTTGGTTTCTTTTTTTCCCTTCTGAATCATATTAACCAAGATGCTGATGTCACTACTAACGCTGTAAATAATAACTAAAGTAAACAGTAACTGAATTTGGCAGCTCATGCCTTAAAGTTAATTCATCTCAATATCTTAATATTAACATGAAAACAGTTTGCCAAATGAAAGTAATATAAAGTTAGGTCATAATAATAATATTTATAACAAATTTGCAAATCAGAATTAACAGCAGGTTTCTCTTTTCTCGTTAATTTAGACATTTGGGACTGTCCTTTTGCAGAAGTTTCCTGTTTCTACAAAAGAAAGTGTGTTTCAAATGTAACTTAAATTAACAAAGTTTTGAATTAATTTTTTTACCATTTACTGGATGTTGAATTTATTTAAATACTTTTTACTATTCCCACAAGGTTACTACGTACATGATTGGTCACATGTCGTCAAAACCGACGTTGATAGTTTATCATTTAAGCCGCAGATATGATAAAAGTATCCTCTTTGATTTCTTTTTTTCATAATGAGAAAGCCTACCGTGGCTAAATTTAGCTCAGTGTTTTATATACAAAAAGTAGATAAGTTGTAGGGGTTTATATTTATTTTTACTAACAAGTTAAGTTTACGCTTTCCTATAAGCTTTCATTCTCCTAATTGTCAATGCCAGAAATGCCAGAATATTAAAATTTGATAGCGCGCGTGAAGGAATGCAAATTCTACCTCGAAGAGGAAAGTTTTAAATACTGAGTTCTAGAAGGAAAAGTTAGAGAGCGCGGGGTAAACACAGTACCTTTGTAGCGTGAGTTTCTGGTTCTGCATTTATTGCTGGTTAATGGCGGAATAGCTATTACTTCGCTGCCACGAGACTTCGACGCTGTTTTAGGTAACACGAGTATCTGAGCCCTGGAGAATAATCCTACTGTTGTTAATATCTTTAAATTTCGTAATTTAGTTCTTTTCAGTTGAGTTACCCCCAGAGCGAGGCGTAGTTTGTTAGCGTCAAGTCGACGCATTGTGAATTTTAAAGAGGTTTAATGAAGGATTCTTTTTTTACTCTTCTTCTGTCTGGTTCCTGCACGTACTTCAGCTGTCACATCAAAAACTTAACAAGTAGATATTACAAAGTAAATAACAAATTTACGCAGTCATACCTTTCAATCTCATAGTTGTAAGACGGTTGAGTTTGGTAAACTGTGAAGTCATGGATCCCACCATGGGAGATGTCTTGATCCAGTTACCGCAAACATATTTGTAGAAGTCTTCACATGGTTTCTTAGTTTCATCCATGGATGAGATAATGTCGGCCGCTGGGAAAAAAAATGTCACCGTCAATCCCGTCTTTTGAAACAACGTTTCTTTCCAGTATCTATAAAACTTTGCATCAGATTTAATTACTGAAACGGAGAACGTGTTAATAAAATTAATACTAAAGTTAAATATCTGTAAATATGTTTAAACGCGCCGTATGCCAAAAAATATAAAAACGAAGTTCGTAAAAGAAAGCGAGATACTATGAAAAAATCAACTTTATCACTATTTAGCATTTTACGTAATGTTGTAAATATTTTAAATACCTGAAACCTTTCTGATTGTACTTTTTTTCCCTGTATTGTTATGGTCTTTTGTATTGTTTATTTATTGTTTTTAGACTGGTAATTTTATGGTTTATTTTGTTTAATCTAATTTGTGGTTAGATGTCTTGCACTGTAAAAGAAATTCTGTAACGTTACTAAAAAAACTCATGGAAGCTGGGATGCCATGGGTTATTTGAGCAACAGTAACAGATGCATTCTTTGTAACTTTACAAGGATTATGCCTGTAATGGTTACAGATATTTTCCTTGTCATATTACAGCAAATGTTTGTTGTTGTTTCCCATTCCCGTGACCAGTAGAGCTAGATCAGGTCCATGAGCCCATTCACCCTGAAAGAGTCGAGTATAGAAAAAGGAGTCTTGAACAAGATCCTGTCTGGTAAGCCCCAGACCCCACTGGTTAGTCCATCCTAACGGCCTTATTCTTTGCCTTACATTTAGAAAATAGTTCCATATAAGTAAGAGGAGCGGCAGACGTTGTGGTCTCGCTAGCACCACCTCTAGCCAAGCTGTCAGCAAGTAATTATGTAAAAAGAACATGTTTTTCTCATGTAAAATCTCAACAAATATATATGTAACCATTACAGGTTATTTGCTTACGTTATTTCAGGAAGTAACTATGTCAGATTCATTTTAATCCAAAAACAATATCATTTAGAAAGTGTTATTAAAAAAGTATCCCCAATTATTACAAATTTTGAGATTTGCATGAAAAATTGTGAAATATACATGTGACAACAGAAAACTAACTTTATGCCATATTTATTTGGTACAGCATGTTAATTGAGAAATTTATTCAGTTTATAATTTTATTGGGAAAGTATTTTACTAGTAATATTGTGAAACAAATAATAGGCTAATAATAAAGATACAGAAATAAAATTAATTTATTATTTTTATAAAAGTAATAAATTAATTTAATATTAATTAAATTTATTAAATTGGTAATGAACTTATTATTTATTTCAAAATAATATATAATTTAATTCATAAACTTTACATAAAATCTGAAAAAGAAAAACAATTAATTTAAAAATAATCTTTTCTCAGATCGAAAAATGAAAGAATGGTTCTTCTCTCTTTGCACATATAAAGCATATCTCCTGAAAAAAAAAATTAAATCATGCTCTTAAAAAGGTGTATAAAAATTATTTTAATAGATTTTTTAAACATTTCAATATAATACTTTTAATTACATGTCTTTATAATAACTATTCTTAACTGATTAAGAACAGCTTAAATTATTAAAAAAATTGAATTACAGTGAACTGTCTCATGGCGACTAGCTACCTCAATCACTTCTTAAAATTATCCTGTATTTAATAACTAAGCACTAAAATAACTAAGCATCATAACTTAGCAGACATAACTTGCCCACTTTTATTCAATTTACTTTTATTTATTCTAGCATGCCCACTTTTATTGAAATCTTCAAGAATCTGGTAGCTTAGATTCACTTTACAAAAATAGCAAATATGTAAATTCTTTCATAAATGAAGCCATTATTGATGGTAAACGTAATATACAGTATACTTATTTTCAGAAAAAAAAAATTCTGGCATTGAAAAAACATTAAGTTATCTATTGCCTTTAAATTTCTAAAACAATATTAGAAATTTGTGCAAAATGAATCATTGAATTTCAAACCTTAAGTAACGTATTTACTCACTTATTTCTTCCTTTCTTTTAGCACAGGGTTCTGAAATTTGTTTAATTAGTTACCTAATTTTCACCTTCCTTCAACCGTTTATACAGTGAGTTTCCCTAAATTTTAAAACATTCATTCATGTAGTAGTCGTTTTCTTCTTAATTATGCCGTATGCTCTTTATGCCGTATTCCCTATTTTTTTTTTTTTTTTTTTTTTTTTTTTTTTACTAATTTTATCGTCTGAAATGGAGAGGGAAAAATTAGGCAAAAATTTTAACTTCTAAAGGACACAGAGAAGTAAGAACATAAATGCAAAGTAATCATGGATGAACTACTAGTAACTATCATAATTTTATTTCTTTAAAGGAAACCTACATTTCAATAAGAATCCACGTAATTACGACGTTTAATAAGTCATCTCATTTCTGCTTCTCTATAACTCGAATTTCTCCCATTCTTGCTGTCATCTTTGCTACTACTTAGGCCTCAAATCTTATATAAATAATTAGAGGATTTGGCTGACGTGGCAAAATTGCAGAGTAAATATCGATTGGTGTTTGCTTCACTTTAATGGGTCATTTCTTGTATTAGGCTGGCATAAAATTCGACACTTAGACAGGAAAGGTTCAGCATGGCCTTTGCAGGTAGTAAGCAAAAGTTTGCCTTCTTTAGCATGACAAAAACAATCACTATGTGGACGAATCCATTTTAAAAGTTTGGGAAATTATTGCATGTGGCTAGTTAGACTGAATGATGATGACTTGCATGCTTCAGAAGATGACACAAACTGCAATTTTAGAAGCAGTAAATACTTTGAGATGTAGGTAGTAGCACTTTACAATAATAGCAGCATAAATTAAAAGTAGAGGGAAGCAGGAACGAAATTATCTTATTAGATACTGAAATGCTAATATTACAATGCATTCTTATTAATATAAAGTAGATTCTTATTGTAAAAAGGAATTCTTATTGTTCTTTTAAATAAATAATTAGTTACCATAGTTACCAATAGTTTATCCTTGAATACGTTTTATTTGGTATATTATTACTGTAATCACATCCTTCAAAATTAAATTTATAGAATAATTTTCCCTTCTCGATTTTCGTACTATAATAAAAAAGGGGGAAATCTGTGTATAAACATGGTAATACCTCTATCTCCTCATATATATAAACATGCATCTTCATAAAAAACATCTTAAGGAAAACAAATGACATTAAGGAAAACAAATTTAAAAAATTATGTCAATAAACAGGATAAGAATTAACTTTATTTTTAGACTTATGGTATATGAAATATAAACTCAAACTAAACTAAACTCAGTGGCGCAAACAGCTCTAATGGTCCAAGGCCTGCAATGCCCCGAAATCTGCTTTCTTGACCGTGGGGACCGGGGTGCGTAAGCATATGCCCTGAACAAGTGGTGAGCTTGTCGCAGGACCCCCAGTGTTTCGTCTCCAAGTAAACTTGGTACTCATTTTATCGACCCAAGGGATGAAAGGCTGAGTCGACCTTGTATTAATGGTGACCTGTGGTGCTGCTGCGCGATGCGCTAGCCACTGCACCACCGGGCCTCATATGAAATCTACTCAATTAAATTAAATTAGAAAATTAAGCTCAAATAAATTTTAAGCCAAATTATGAATTTAAATTGTAATAATTTAGTTGTAGTAATTAATATTAATAAAAAATAACATATTTCGTTCAGAAAAATATTAAAATTCTTCTACAAAATTGAAAAAATTACCAATATTTTGGTTTATCTGATAATTGTCAAATTTATTCCTTTGTTTTGTATTTAGAATTATAATTTTAATTTTTCACAGAAATTTGTTTTTGGCTTTAAAAAAATTCACTTGTCTTAATAGATACACTACACTTTTGTACTTTTTGAAATTTTGCAGAATTTCTACTTTACCAAACAAAACATTTGAATTTATGTATAAAATTAATAATTAAAATCAAAACACAGATCAGAAACTACATAAAATTCAACTAATAATTATTACTAGTGTCATGCAAAATACTATGAAATTAATTAATAAATTAAGAGTAATATTCCACATCTGCAAAGTTTGGAAATTTTATGTTTAAATATTTTTTTTAAATAAATATTTTAAAAAAGGGTCCCTTGGAACACTGGACATTCTTCAACTGCAACTCGCTTAAATTATAAATACACTTCATGTCTTTCATAGCATTGCTTTTCTTTTAACTAAAATAAAATATAACCTTCAGTTGCTATATAAGGTATTTTCTCCCTCTTTCCATTATGCCTTTGTGGTGTAATGAATGACAGCACACTCGGCGCGTATTCGAGAGGTCTAGGTTAAGTCCCGGCGAGGGCATTGTTCATTTTTCATGTCACCTGATTCAAAATAGTCTAACAACTCTACAATTGAAATTAAGACTTCTAACAAAGATGCTATTGAAAGTTACAAATACTTACTTAAATGTGAAATAAATTTAGCTCACTTAAAATAATTTAAAAAAATCAATCTTCATGTATATGTCTAAAAATCAGACCCTCTTAGTTTTCTTTTATTTAAAAGATATTTGCATTCTATATTAGTTTTGACTAGAAAATCATTGGATAACTAAATGCCAAGCTATAAGTGAACTAATGTAGCTTACAAATGCACAGAATTTAATTTCCTGCATTAACTTAAAGCACAATTTGTTGCATATTTATATCATTTGGTTTGGTGGAGCATGACAAAGCATGTAAAGCTATTTATCTAAAGGGATGCATGTAATTATGGAGGGATTTGTAAGGAAAAGTGGCTTGTATTGACATTGTATTTATGTATGTTTATATTGTTAATTCTAAAATTATTATTAAAAAATTATTATTATTAATTGATTTTTAATACTGACATACACATACAGAATGGTTTAAAATTCCACATAGTCACAATTTGTTTTTTTAAAAGAAGTTACTTTATGATTTGCATGTTATATTATATGTTTAAAACATTATAAATATGCAATGGCAGTTACAGAGAATAATAAAACTTGTAATTTATAAAATATTAATGAAATGATATTTTTCGGAATAAAGTGCA